ATCTATATATATATATATATATATATATATATATATATATATATATATATATATATATATATATATATATATATATATATATATATATATATATATATATATTGTACGTTGACTTGTCGAATTTTTTATCGTTTATTGTAAAGTTTAAACCTTCTAGTTATATAATCCCCCTGAATGATTGTGATATGCATTTATGTAGTTGCCCCAAATTTGTGTTTGCAATTGATAATAGGCTAATATTTGTGTCTGTTCGTACTAATTTTTTTCTAAACCAATAGTGGGGGCAAAACTGTAAAGTGCATGCTATACAAACTATAAAAGATTAGTGCAACTTTCACAAAATTCTTTAATTATTTAAATGATGCACATCGTCCTCATACCTTCTTACAAATTGCATTAATTAATCAAATTATCCATTATCACATTACCATTAATATAAATAATACAAATTAGAAAAACAGAATAATTAAACTCGATAATTACTAGAAAATATCAATATACTCTATAAGTAACATATGTTAATTAAGTATTAGTCTATTATAAATTGTTTGCACTTTTAAAAACTAATTATATACGGTGGAAATGGATTTTATTTACATATAACAATACGTAGAACATAAGAACATAATGTTTAAATATAAAAATACGACAACGTTTAAAACTTGAAAAAACAATCCTAAACCATTTCAATATGAGTCAAAATGAGTACCACAAATTATACATTTAAGCATTTATTTTCCTATATATTTTTGTGAGAATATTTATTTTGTTGTCGTTTTTCAGTTGTTTTGTTATTTATTGGTTCTATGAACAAAATATGTTACAAAGTATCATACTTTTGAAAAAAAAAACAATTTTCCATGCGAAAATCAGTAATTGTTGAAAATTGATTGGTTATTTCCATAAACATAAAACGCCGAATAATACGTGACATAGTAATACCTAACTAAGAAAAATGACGTGCAAGAATAAAAGTAGATGAAATGTTTTTTATGATTTTTCTCAACCAATCAAATGACCATATAGGATGAAATTGGGGATATGTCAGCAAATAAAATTGCAAAATGTCAAGCATAGTAGGGTGTAATTCATTTTTTGTATATGATATATGTTATATAAATTATATTTCTTCTCTATTTATATTATATTATAGCTAATAAAGTATTATATTCAATAACAATAATATTATTATTAAAATTGTTACTGTAAAAAAAAATAGGTAATGAACAACATATAAAACAAGCATCCTTTTAATTTCAACACCTAATTATACTCGTACTATAGTAGTTATGTACATGAATAAGAAATATGATTTCATAACATATTTCTTCTAATACACACAAAAAATTATTACACTCAAACTAAATTAAGACTATATGTTGAAAAGCCTCGAATATCACAATTTCCATGGCCAAGAATAGATATTAAGTGCGTCCCGCCAAGAAATGATTTCCCGTACCCGAGTTCCTCGTGGGACCTTCCACTTCAGCACGAACGAGGAACTTCACTGTGCGAGTCCCAACAAACTCCAATACTTCAAGACACTCTCGCAAATCCGAATCATTTACCATCATCACCCATTCCTCTTCGTCGTCCAAATAATTGAGTTTAAATTGCCCTATCTCAATTTTGAACCCCTTTCCCACTTCTTCGTACAATTCACAACACCCTGAAGAAGACGAAGGTTCAAATTTAAACCGAACAATGTCTCCACCATACGTAGCTTTCACCGTAATTTTAGCCCCATTGTCTCCTTCATAGCTTGCTTCGGTTTTCAAAGGTGATTTCTCGTCAAAACTTCTCGAACTCGATGAACTGCTATTTATTTGTTTTGATGAATCTGTCATTCTTGAGGAACTAATTTGGCTTTGCTCAATAAAACCATCATCCACATCGATCATAGTACTTTCTCCAAACCTCACTACAAGAAGAAGAAAAAATGACATTAGTGTTACCCTAACTGTAATAATATTTAGAATGTCCCTAATAAGTGACAACATTTTGTAAGCTCATTTTGCTGTAATTTAAACTTATTTTTTAGTCACTAGTGACAAGGATACTGACAGCATTTTGGGCCTAACCATGTGAAAATAGGAGTTATTTTTCAAAAAAATATTTCTTGTAGTGCATATTACCTGTGTCATCAATAGATATTTTCGAACTTGAGCGATCAGAGAAGAGATGAGATCCAGAAGTCTCTGCTTTGATATTATTGACATCGTATAGTTCCAATCCATTATATTCTCTCAAAATAAAAGAATTCTTCGGAGCATTAGGGGAAGTCGTCCACGGAATGGTCTTTAATCTAGGTGGCCATGACGGGCCCCATGTATCTAATGCAGCCAACTTCGATTCATCACAATTTTTCACATCGAAATGCAACTCTTCGGAGTCGATGCACGAATTCGAGGAGAGTGATGTTGCGTTTGCTATGGGTGCATCTGAATTTTTCGCCCAATAATCGGTTTTCGTGTTGAAGTAGAATTGTGTGCTCGGGTCGAATTTTTGCATTATCGAGCCTGCGGAAACGAGTTTTCTTGTTGTTGCGTCGAATTTTAGTCCTCCTTCGGCTCCCTCAGCAGATTCGAGCACACTTTGTATTTTCTTCAATGACCGGTTAACCTTGTTTATCTTGCGCGAAGGCCATCTATATATACCATGTCGTCGACATATTCTTTTGAGCGTTGTTGGGCTAACTACAAAAATGATAAACATAATATTTAAGTGTCACTTAAAAAAACTGATTTCATTGAAAATTTATCAACATGTTTTAAAGAATTTGCTTAACTTATAACAAAGACATATGCAACTTTTAGAACAACAAGTGGACAAGACAAGATCTAGTCAAACAATATAAAAAAAAGAAGACATGTAGTACAACTTGTTAGCAATACGTTTTGACCACTTGCAAGCAACCGTTTCTATTGGACCAGACGCTTTCTGGGTACAGAGAAGTTTCTAAAATGTTCACGTTCGCGGCGGAAGTAAGACCCGGTTGTTTTCCCGGCCTTCCCGAGAGGGTTTTCATCTCCAAGGTCCCCGAATAGACTTCGAATGTGATGTACTATAGTACAGCGGAGTACCTTAGGGTACAACATGCGATTGACCATGAAGTGCGTGGCTCGATTGATTTGCCGGTGTTTGAAGAGGATGATTCGATTGATGGTGACAGGTCGTGTTGTGCTGTTTTGGAGATCGTCACCACTAAGGAGAAACTCGATTTCGATTTGGAGATCAATAATATTTCCCGTGCACTGCTGGTTTATCTCTTACTTTTTTTTAAAGCATTGTGGATAATTTTTTATTCCCTGTTTTGAGAAATTAGATTCCTAGTGCTTGGAGTGATAGTTCATTTTGCTTTATTTTGCATGTTAGCAAACTAAATAAATTGTTTCTTAAGCTTATTATTATTTTCTCAAATGTTCTCTTTCTTGTTTATAGAAATTAAATTCCTAGGATGATGCTCCTACAACTTTCATAGTTGTAGATCGAAGAATTCGGTTTAACTGTCACATAATTTTTTTTAAGTCTTTGTTATTGATCATTTTTCCAGGCCGTGGATTTAAGTAGCATTGCGCCTTCTCGAATTTACCCCCAGGTCTTAATCAAGGTTTATACTCAATTATCTCAATTCCTCAATCATCAACTCGAATAGTTTTTCTAACTCAGGTTATTAAATTCCCATTATGCAGAGTCTCTCGAAGAATCAAAACGCAGCTCTATGAGGAATAACCGATGTTTTACGTGCAATTTTCCATGCGCATCGACTCCCACTCGCTCTAACATGGATCCCTTGTAGTTACACCGAAGAATATTCAGGAAACCAAACCATACGAACGAATTCAATAAAAAACAATATTCTAAATCCGAACGAAAAACCCGTACTGTGTGTAGAAGAATCTGCATGTTATTCCAGCGATACATACATGCAAGGATTTATACGTGCGAGCGGAGGACATTTTCTTGAAAAAGGGCAAGGTGTGGTCGGAAAAGCACTTCAATCGAATCAACCATTTATCTACCATGATGTGAAGGAGTATCATATAAGCGAATATCCGCTTGTTCATCATGCTCGAAAATACGGATTAAATGCTGCAGTTGCGATTAGGCTTAGGAGTACTTTTACGGGCGAAGATGACTATATATTGGAATTTTTCTGCCCGTGAATATGAGAGGGGGTGCAAAACAACAATTATTGCTTAATAATCTCTCGAGTACTTTGCAGAGGATTAGTAGAAATTTGAGAACAGTTTCAAATGCGGAGTTGTTTGGGAAACAATGAGTTTTGAAGAGCCGTTGGTTGTAAATGATAATGTGTTTGCGTTAAAGACAACAAAAATACACGATAATGCCCTCCTTGAGAAAGTTGATCGTGTTCCTGTTCCTTTACAGGTGCTCGTTGAATTTTTTAAATATATATATATATATATATATATATATAGTTGAGAGTAGTTTGTTAGGCATGCAATTTGTTAATATCAAAAAAGATAAGAATATATAGGATTATAACTACATTTACTATACTTGTTTATTCTTGTTATCTAAACGATTTGATTATTTGATTCACTAGAGTTTCCGTAGTAGATAATGCAACCAAAATAATGATTATTTGGTACACAAACATAGATCAAAGAATCTATACTAACTATAAAAGTATGAATTATTGGTGATGGTTTCTTCCTTTTTTGTGTGTCCAATATTACCCTTTGGCCAATAGCTTTTTTGATAGATAATATGGTAATTAGACATTACACTAACAATAATGTATATCTATAATTAAAAAAAAATCCAGAACTACTATTAATATAATTATGAAAAAAAAAAATTTATTTTACCTCCCATTTAAGTTATTAATACATAATAATTAGGATAATCATTAATGCAATATTAACTTATTAAGTGTTATTAAAGTTTTAACTCATCCATTTACGTTAAAATTCAATAAAATATTTGATTTCTTTATTAGTTTAAAGCTTCATAAAATATGGATTACCACCTAATCCGAATTAATATTCATTCTTCAGTTTTGAATACCTTTAACTACCACATCTGGTGGTGGATACCATAGAAGATAATTTTTTAGAGGTTTAATTTTAAAGCATGGTGCAATATTAATTATTTCTACTAGCATTCTTAAACGGAAAAATGAGCATCCAAGCACATTCTCATATACATAAGAACAAAAAAGACCATTCAACTATTTACTAATTTCTCAAAAGACACGTTCTACACACCTTTAATTGTTTTAACTTTTCACATTACATACATCAATGGCCTGCCTCAATTAAAACAAAAATTACAAACTAATAAATACATTTAATAAATTGCATTTCATGTAATAAATAATAGGTTAGGGTTTTCCTTTTTGTGGGTGTAAAAATTACCCATTGACTAAAAGCTATCTTCAAGGGTAATATAATATATTACAATTATTTAATTATATAATATAATATAATATTTTGTAAGAGCAACTCCAACCCACAAATATCAAAATTAATTATCAAATATTTATTTGGTATTTTATATTTTAGTTTGATACCTAAAAAAAATTATTTGCTCGAACCATAGTTATCAAATAGTTCCTAGCTAAAAATAAATAATGTGATTGTATATTTTAATTAACACATGTCATTTTCTAATTGGTTATTTAGGTGGTTAAGTTGTGTAACTTCCAATTGGTATTATTTTGTTTCGGATGTATTTTTACATCCCAAAATTTAAAATATCAAAATAGAAACTCATTTGATAACTCCATTGGAGTGGAGAATTTCTAAATTGAATTATCAAAATGGTAGTTAAGGGTTTTGATACCCCATTTAATAACTCCATTGGAGTTGCTCTAACGGATTATTAATTATTTAATTAATATTTATAAATATGTACTATTTATAAATAATTATTTTTCATCTCATATTTGTAACATGCCAAAAAAAGCTGTCAACAAGTCTTAAATTGAAGAAACAATAGTATACAAAGAGTCATTGCTTCTCCGTTGTAATAAAAATGACATGAAGAAAAATTGAGGTCATAATTACAAAATTAATTCCATTTAATTAGTATTTAATTAATATTTATAAATATGTACTATTTATAAATTATTATTTTCCATCTCATTATTTGTAACATGCCAAAAAAAAACTGCCAACAAGTCTTAAATTGAAAAAATTAAACAATAGTATACAAAGAGTCATTGCTTCTCTATTATAATAAAAACGACATGAAGAACAATTGAGGTCATAATTACAAAATAAATTTCATTTAATTAGTAACAGCTGCGTATGTCTACAAATTGCACTCCATGCATATATATTCACTCTATAATTCAATTTCCATACCGAACATATCCATATAACACAAAGAGTAGGCACTAAGTTTGATTTTGTTTATCAGGTACGTACATACCCTAGGAAGCAAATTGATTGAATCAACTTCCCACAAATATGTCTTCGTTTACATATTTTTTTATGCTACATCTTTAAACGTTAATTCCAACATAACATTTATTTCTTACAATACAGAAAAAGGAACCAACCATGTCTCTTGCTTCTATGCTTCACATAAGGGACTTACATGTAACGCAGAACTGTGGGACACTTAAACTGAAGGCTTTACGGGTTGGGAGTGAGATAAGCTGCGGGACAGACTTCATTACAAAGTTGAAAAAAATAATTATGATGGACGAACAGGTGAGTAAGGCAACATTAAAAATTCTAACATATACAACAAATATACCATTTGATGACCAACTTACCTTAAAAATGGTTGCAGGGTGATCGTATGGGGTCGTAATATTTAACGACGACCTTCCACATTTTGATGGTTGTTTCTCCCTGCACAAGTCTTACATAATCTCGAACGCAGTTGTTAAGAATAGAAATCTTTCGTATTTTAGTGCACATCCACATTTTGAAATAGTGTTTAGAATTATTATTATTATTATTATTATTATTATTATTATTATTATTATTATTGTTCTTATTGTTGTTGTTGTTGTTGTTGTTGTTGTTGTTGTTGTTGTTGTTGTTGTTGTTGTTGTTGTTGTTGTTGTTGTTGTTGTTGTTGTTGTTGTTGTTGTTGTTGTTGTTGTTGTTGTTGTTGTTGTTGTTGTTGCAAAACGTCCGGAGGTACTTAGTGTTCATGAAGAGGCAATGAGGTGGAAAATTAATTCAGCAAGGGAGATTACATTGCAGGAGTTAATTCACAAAAAGGACTCCTTATCCAGGGTAAAAATAAATAAATAAAATTAAATCTTATTAGTATACTAGGTTAGACAAAACAAACACACTCTGTTTTTATTTTTTTCGTAGGATACAAAGTATTTTTTCAAGGGGATTGTGGAAAAGGTGGAAAATAAGTTAAGTATATGGTACGATTCATGCAAGAATTGCATGGCATCAGTTGTCAAATCTGAAGAAACGATCACATGTCCGAAATGCCACAAAGAAGATACAGAATCAATACCAAGGTAATAAATATACGAAATTTGTTTAAAAAATATATACAATTTAGTTATACAAATAAAATTATTGGTCTCATTTTAGGTACCGGTTGATTTTAACAATCACACAAGGAGAATACAGTGCAAGCATGACACTATTTGAGGAGGCCGCATGCGTTTATATTGGGTGCCCTATCAATGAGTATCTTAAACCAATCGAACATGTATAATTTTATTTACTCTGACCGCTATATAACTACATGCACGTGAATAAAATTATTTGTGGAAATACAATTTTTACATACATATACCATTTAATTAAATATCTCTAACCATCCATCTACATGATCCATTTCTATAGGGCGAAAATAAGTCGAAGTATTACAGAGCACTGAGCCTCCAATCATCAAGTGAATTATATTTTCTCATCGCACCAAACAACAATTTGTCATATTCCAATGGACAACTTAAGGCTGTGGCTGATGCAATTCAAAGAATTCAGCCTACTATAGAAGAAGAAGAAGAAGAAGAAGAAGAAGAAGAAGAAGAAGAAGAAGAAGAAGAAGAAGAAGAAGAAGAAGAGGCTGTGGCTGATGCAATTCAAAGAATTCAGCCTACTATAGAAGAAGAAGAAGAAGAAGAAGAAGAAGAAGAAGAAGAAGAAAAAGAAGAAGAAGAAGATATGCCAGAGACATCTAAAGAAGGTGCAAAGAAAAATGAGCCAATTGAGGTTAGAGAAACAAGATGTTCCTACAAAAAAAAAAGGCTCATTAAGAAGGTTCAAAAATTTGAGCTTGAGGTAAATAAACAAAGGTTAACGACATCAAAAGAAAGTGCGAAAAAGAAAAAGAACAGCTTGAGGTTGAAGAGAATCACAGTGAAGAAGATATGCTTAAAAGAAAAGGAAGGATCATTAAAAAGACAAAGAGATTTGAACCTGAGATAATAAAGAAAAAAAGGGTTGCGACATCAAAAGCAAATTCCAAAAAAAATGAGCCGTTGAAGAAAATGACAGTGAAGAATATGTTCCTAAAATAACAGGAAGAACCCGTAAGAATATAAGTATCGTTGAGAGTTCTGATGATGAAGACACACTTGAATATAAGTATCACTAGAAATCTCTCCAATTTCTTGCACAACTCTCAGTATTCTTTCTTCTTTCATTTGCAGTACTCTGCCACAGTATTGGGATTTTTGATTGTTCGTCAATTCTAATGGTGGTATTTGTAAATTTTCAATAAAGTGACATTGAATAAATAATATTTTATTGTATAAAACTTTTGTGTTATTTAATGTTAACAGTCATAGTCATGTATGTATAATATTCTTCATTTATTTAGAGGTAACAATCATGTTTTATCATTTGAATAAATATTTTTTTCCTTACTTTTCTTTTGAAGAAAACAGGTCAAATACGTTTTGCTCCCCTAGTTTATAGTCTATGTAACACTTAATCCCTCAATATCAATTATTTTGTATCTTAAATTTTAAGAAATAATAATAATCTTAATATATTTCCACTTTCGTTGGATGGAATAATTGAAAAATAATTCATATAATTAAATAAAAGTATCAATTTAAAATTTATTGCAATATTTGAAATTGTAAAATTTTATGTTCCTTAGCTAGAATAAATAGCATAACAATACAATAATCATTGGATCATATAAAATTTAAAAGTAAGTAAAATTAAATTATTGGTAAAACATTGATAATAATATATTGTTGGGTTTCGGGCACGCATATGCAGCGGAAAACAAAAATTTTTGTGCGAATTAAACGACTTTAAAACACACAAGTACATGCCCGATGAATTAAATCAATTAATTGCGTACCTTTGCGCTTCCAGCGAAATTAAA